TTTCTCGCGCTTTATACAAACAGAAACGCAATTTATACAATTCTGTTGTATAAACGAGAAAGAGAGAAAGACAAAAGAGAACTGGGCAGGGGGCAGGGGAATATTTTTATTGTATAATTATAAGTGTATAGGACGAATATATATGTATTTGCATGTGTATATACAATTTTCTCTCGCTTTATACAAACAGAAATGCAATTTATACACTTCTGTGTATAAAGCGAGAGAGGCGAGCACAGAGAGAGTGAGCGAGAGAGGAGAGTGGCGAGCGAGAGTTTGAGGGAGAGAGGCGCTGGCAAACAGTTTGCTACAGGACACAATTAAATCAATGTGTGATTATACCATTTAATTTGAATTAATAGTTTGTCATTATGTACAATTTTCCCTTTATATTATGGTAAAGGGCCTAAAATATCTTTGAACTATGAGATTTGGTACAAAAATACCCTTCGTCGATCTTTCGGTCCTAAAATACCCTTGACGTCAATGTATTGGCCCTAAAATGCCCTTACTTTTGACGGCCACATTTTAAAATATTATTAAATGTATCATTTATTACGTGGCACAATTTTATTGGTGTGTTTACAATTCACCTAAACTAATCAAATTCCGACCCAAATTTGGATCCACCAAATAAACCCATACCCGCCCCACCTAAAAAGAACCCCATTAAATTAATTCTCACAAAGGGTGTTCTTCAAGCTTTTTAGAGTAAAATCCTCCCATAGTGAATTTACTTTTCCTTAATACATACCCAAATTAGTAAGTGAACCTAAATTTAAGTACAATAAATGATTCTTCAAACGATTTTGACATTGGTAACCTACAAACTTAAGTTCTCAAATTTTGAAATTGAGATGTGAAAGATGTGAAATTCTTCGACTTCAAAAATGGAGTTCTGTTGATTTCGTTCGACATTTTTCTCTATCTTATTCACCAAATCAACAACCAAATCATAAACCAGATTACTTCACAATTAATTATATTTAAGGATTCAAGAACCTTCAACTTTAAATAAATTTCCAACCTGATTCGGAATCCTTCGAACTCCAAAAAAATATCAGTAGATAAACTTGATTTTGGTAAGTATACTATTTTAAGCTTGAATCTAATTGGTATTGTATTTGAAACTTAAACTCGTCGTAAGTCAGTTGAATATTGAGAAGAAAAAAACCTGGTTTAAATTTTGTTACTTATTTTGAAGTCGGTGATTCAGATTATTGTCTTGCCATCATTGTGAAGTTGTATTTTGATTTTGGAGGGCTTTGAAGATGAATTAGAATAGCTTGGAACGAATTTGTAGTTGGATTCACGAAGAAGGTGATAATAATTTGAAGACCAAATCAAATTTAGCATAATGAACAAGATGAAATCAAGGTTTTTTCACTTAATTTAATGGGTATTTAGGGCGGGTGGGTATGGATTCTTTAGGTGGATCTTGGATTGAGATTTAATTAGTTAGGTTAATTTAAAACACACTAATAAAATCGTGCCACGTAATATATGATACATTCATTAATATTTTAAAATGTGACCGTCAAAAATAAGGGCATTTCAAGGCCAATACGTTGACGTCAAGGGTATTTTAGAGCCGAAAGGTCAACGAAGGGTATTTTTGTACCAAATCCGATAGTTCAAGGATATTTTAGGCCTTTTTCCGTTTATATTACATGTAGTTATGTACTAGTAGTATTTTTCTTTTCTTCATATTGTACACAGATAACTATTTGTGAAATTTTCAACGAAAGCAGTGTCACACCCTTTATCATAGGGTGCATCCACTCCAGAAAATAGTAGGAAGAAAGGAAAAAGAAAGCTCCTTAAAAAGGGTAAGTCAAAAAAATAAAAAATGTCAACTTTTGACTTGGTCTACAGAAGTTGACAAATCGAATCTTAAAAGTCAACAAGTCTAATTTATGGGGGTAATGGGACAGGAGAGTATAAGAACAAGCTACCGAGGTGCAAAATGTGTACTTGCTTTTACTTGTACGTTTCTAATTACATACTATTCCATCCGTACTATAATAGTTGGCTACCTTATGAAAATTATATGTTTCGAATTATTTGTCTATTTATTAAATCAAAATAAAATAAAATAAAATTCTAAAAAGATAATTCTACCCTTAATATTAATACATTTTGAATATCTTAATGTGCATCAATTTATATAAAGAATAAATTAGAAAAAAAGTAATTATTTGATATATAGTTTCTTAAACACCATGTAAAATGAAAGCTAACCAATTAATATGAAACGATGTGAGTAAAACTTTATATGAATTTAGAATACGAAAAGTTATTTGGCTCTTCAATAACATAGAGAAAGAGGGGTACGGAAGGAGTTCTAGAAATTGAGACCTTTTCCTTTCCTCTTGTTTTCTTTTCCCTTTTGCCTCTTCCATAAAGTTGAAAAGACTGTGTGAGATGCCGAAATGATGCTATCTTACAAAGCAAGCCAGTTAAAACGGATATAGATGTATTTAGCTCAAGTTAAATAAAAGGCCAAACACATACACAACCCCTCACACTTGTCCTCATATTTCATTTTGGCACTCCAACTTAGCCTTGTTCCATTTTAACCCTTAAACTCCATTTTTCTATACCATTTAAACACTAATACCAATTTTTATGATTTTTTATTTATTTATGCTCTTCAATTGCAATTTTTTATTTTAAAAAAATAGACGTGTGTCTGTTAATTTTCGTAAAAAAATTAAACATTCGCGAACGAACATAAAAATTTTCAAACAATAATATTATTTTTTGAGATTTCTCTGTATTTTTGCATGAAAGTAAATTGACAAAAGTTCTTTTGATTTTCTTTCTTAAAACATTCAATTAAATTAAATTAACACTACTTATTTATTATTTCTTATCATCTAGGCTATCTAAATTTAACGCAAATACTCACTTTTTATTTTTAATATAAATCAATATGAATAAAAAAACTCATCTTCAATACGCGTAAAAAAGACTCTTGTTTATTGCTAATAACACTACTAAAAAATGTTAAAACTCGACTGACTTTAATTTGTTAGATTGTCGGTGATTTTTAAGAAAGAAACCAACACAATTTCGTTGGTTTTTTTTCACATAAAAATACATAAAACTCTTAAAAAGAAATTATTATTTTTTAAAAAGAATAGTTTTTGTTAAATTTTTTTTAACTAAAATTAACTGACACATGTCCATTTAAAATAAGAAGTTGCAATTGAAAAACATATATAAAAATAAAGAAATCATAAAAATAGTATTTCATGTTAAAATGGTACATAAAAAATTGAGTTAAAGGGTTAAAATGGAACAAACCTAAGTTGGAGTGCCAAAATGAAAAATGAGGACAAGTTAGATGTGTTGTATATGTGTTTGGCCTAAATAAAACTTAACAATAATTGCTAGCTAGACTACAAGTCCAAGGCAGGTAAAATAAGTAAAATCGGAGAAAAAGGCTATTATAGTAAAGATGTTAACGAGGA